GAACTTGGCCATCAGGCTTGGTGGCAGCAGGCACCTTTAGCATCTGCACGTCTTGCAGGCCCGGGTCTTTTGTGACGCCTGCTTCTCTTGCAGAATGAGGAGAATGGCGAGTCTCTCATAGTTTGAAGGATTTGTTAGTAGACAGCTGGGGTAGAATCTGGAAGGTGTATTTTAGGCTCTCCTACGTAGGAGTCCCCAGAACTGGGGACAGGGGACACAAGGTGTTCCCCTGCTTAGCTGAATTACTTTCCTGGGATAGTAGGGGGTTATTTTTTCAAGCGTGACTTCTCATCTTTCCTTGCTTTTGAGGGGTTGGGAATTGAATCCAGGCCCCAGGCTCTGTCCCTAGAACAGAAACATCCCCCCCCCCCCCCCCCCCACCCCCGCTGCTTTTTTTCTGTTTTCAAAAGCTCCATGATGTCTCTGGAACATCAGTGCAAGTTGTTTTTATGCTAACATTTTCATTTGTCAGAGACTCTGGGCCCTAAAAGGAAGGGAGACAAGAGGGAGGAGCCCTGCTTCCTTCCCATCCTTTCTGTGGCTAGCTGATCCTGTGTGCAGAGACCCAGCAAGATCCATGTCCACTGTCCTGGCCACTGTGACCTAAGCGTGGGATCCAGGGTATCCCTTGCTGTCAGGAGCTGGTGACACACCAGACAGACAGCAGATCTGTGGTCCCCCGTTGCCCTTGGAACTCAGGGTCTTACCTGGTAGAATTCGAGAAACCTCTGGGACATTTTCACTTCTGGGCAGGAGAATCCCTCACCGCAACATTCTGGATGATGTTGGAGCCCATGGTCCACTCGTCCGGCAAGTGTGGGGCCACATTTTGCTACCATGACTTAGAGACTCCATCCGAAAGTCCTTCACCCCCTCTTGGGGAGAGTGTGGGTGTTCTTTATGAATAGTTTCCATCTGGGCACAGAGCTCCAAGAGCCTGGTCCAATTTCTGCCCACATGCAGCACATACTATGAAAGGCCATTTTCCTTTTTGAAGCAGGTCCAAAACAATAGGCACAATGAAGCACAGGCCGTCGCCTGTGGGGAAAGCAGCTTGTCCCAGGGATTCCAGTGGAACGAAATGGTAGGCTGGTCAGGACAGATCTGACAGGAAAGGAACCCTTCCCCAGCTAAAGCACTAGTGACAGTGAGGTGTCCCAGGGGCTCAGGCCACCTGTGGGTGACCACAGCCTTATCCTTTCCACTCCAAGGCCCTGGTGGCCAGGTGGGTAGAAGGCCCAGCATGAAGTGCTGAGCTGTGCCTCAGTTTACTTTGATATGTGTGTCTGACTGAAATCCTGAAGCGGGGAATTCGTGATACAGTCTCAGTAGAGAACATTCAAGAATAACCCTGAAAAGAGAAATCGCAAAGACAGGAAATTTTAAAATAAAGATGATGGTGAACGAGAAAAGGTTCTGGATCACTCCAATTAGCCACTGAAATGTACTAGGAGCAGCTGGCTGTGTAAGGCTGGGGACCGTAGTCCTCTGCCTATCTTGGTGGCTGCTTAGATGTGTGGATGCATGTAAGTTCCCAGGACACACGATCGCCTTGTCTGCCGTAGCATGAGCTGGATGGCACACACACGAGGATTTTTTCTTTTCTTGCAGTGTTATAGAATGGAACCCAAGACCTCCACAAATGCTGGGCTCCAGCTACTTCCCAGCCATACATGGGAAACTTTTTTTTTAACTGTTAAGTAAAGCAATTTGAAGTCAACTATATGTGCATGAACAAAACCATTAGCTTCCTGGGACAGCAGAGAGTGAACTGCCCATTGTGAACTCCGGGCTGCTGCTAGGTTTCTTGAGGCAAAAACTGTCAAAATGCAAACGGCAGCTCTGAGTTTTCGCCCCTGGAAAACACTGCTTTGCTGCGTGTTGGTGTCGCTTGGCTGTTGATTACAAAGTAGGCCGATGGAATTTGGAGACCGATTGCAACTTGAGACACAAGATCCCATCTAGAGCCTTCCAGAAAGTCCCCCCATGAACAGGGAGTGAGGGCTGTGAAGAGAAAGAAACCAGTGTTGGTGTGGGAAGGAGAGGTGTGAATGGCCTGAAGTAATGTGGTGAGAGAGAGAGATAAAGCCGCCTAAGGCTCCCGCAGCCAGAGGAAAGCCTTGCTTACTCCCAACACCGGGCATTGGGTTTCACGGAAAGCCCTTTATCTCCCTGGGGTCTGATGTTATCGCGGCTTGAAAATGGTAAATCGTTTATATAACATTTGCTGCTTCACCGAAGGAAGGTGCAATGAATTCACCGAATGTGAGAGGGGATCAGGCCCAGGCTGCAGGACTCTGGGCTTCTGTCATTTGCAGGAATACTATCTGTTGGGCAGCAGAAAAGGGGGTTGGGGCTGTGGTAGAAGAGGGGGCAGCCTGGGGAGGCTGATTACCTAGGCTGTTCTTCTGGTTTTTCTGGGTTAGTGGTGTGTGTGTGTGTGTGTGTGTGTGTGTGTGTGTGTGTGTGTGTGTCTGTC